TACACAGTGCAGCAGGGTACATGAGGACTTCACTGAAACGTAAAAATGTTTGTCGGGTACAATGGGAGCCCTCATGAAGGTGAGAAGTTGACAGGGTAAGAGAGAACAGGGAAAGGCAATATCTCCCTGTAGAAAAGTAAACACTAGGGAGTTTAGATTAGCTAACACAATTCTTTTAGAAGAAACTCTAAAATACACAAAATATATAGAATCTCTAAAATTGTTGTTCTCAAATTGACTTACATGATTTATTGTTGCAGATTTTTACTGCCTTTTCAGGACCAAAAATACAGGGTTTTGGTCAGCTGAAAAAACAGACAAGCAGGCAGTCTAAAAATGTTGATTTCTCTTCATGTTCCCAAGAATAACTCAAAAAGGGGGAGGGGGAAGAAGTCAGTAGGATTAGCTAGTTACTTTATCATAGCAAGCAGTTATGCATTATGCACTACATGGTACAAAATACAATAACAGTATTTTTGTGGGTTTGACTCTGGATCCTTCTGTCTTTCCTTGTTTTTATTCTCACATATGCCAGGGCTCAAAAGCCAGGTTCAGCTATGATACACCAATTGCAAATGATACTTTCTACGTTTTTGTGCCAGATGGTGTATTTTTAATACACATCCTTTTAAAATTTAGGTTAAAAGATATGTGCCAGTAATATTTCTCACTTTTAAAAATCTGAATACTCATCAACTGTCCTGAATATTTGTGTCTGTGTCAGGTATGTTTTTTAACTTCATCTGGAACATTGTAACAGAGAATTTTCCTAAAGACCATTTCAGTTGTTTCTGCTCTGAAATATTGCATTTTATGATATACTTTCCTTCTTTGACCTTTTTTTTTGGCAATATCTTAGTTGATGTCTTTCATAAGAATTCTAAGTTCACTCAAAATACATACCTTTTCTTCTTATGTTACTTTATATATATAGTGTGGTTTTACAGAGCAGTACTAATTACCTGGCAGTGTTGTGTAAATTAGTAGAATAACATGTTTTCTCAGTATGATTTGCTGTGGTTGGAAAAATGCTAGAATATTTATAATTAATAAATGCAGACTTGGCTCAGACATTTTTTTTAAAGACATTAACACTTTGAGTATGTCTTAATAGAATATTTATATTAAAAGAAGTTAATTCTGTTGCTGTGGGTTTTGAGCCAAAAATATACCCTCTGATAAGCATGTAAGACTTCCACTGAAAATGAGTGCAAAGGGGAAGGAAATCTCTTTATGTGATAGATATTACACGTTTTCTAAATTATGTACTTTTAGACAGTCTTTTTAAAATGTTTGTAACTGTATAAGAACCAACATCTTGCACTCTGATTTGATTCTGAGGTCCATCAAGTGATGTACCTAAAATAGACTAAAGCCGTTTTTTTAAAAAAAAATTGGTTGTGATTTTGTGAAACTAACTTTCAGTAAAGTATTTAGCAGAATGATTTAATTATAACATTTCCTTTGGTATTGTAATTATGGAAAAAGCATATGGTGGCTTTGTTACATGTTTGAAACTATTGCAATGACAATGAAAATTACTCCTTTGTGATAAATGGATACCTCCTTCCCATTTTGTATTGGTTTCCTGGCTTGATGGATGTTTTGTCTTGTGATGGCTAAGATTTGTTCTGTCTGATAAATCATGTACTATAAAGAAATTCAATATACACTAGATCTTTGGATATTAATAAGTAACCCTTTTCTTTTCTCCTGCAATGTGTCTCGCTGCAATGTACATTCCATTCCTCCTCCTTCTGTCTTAACTGTTATCTACCAGTGCTTGGGTACAGAGATAAATGTTTCACTCATTCAAATTCCAAATCAGCAACTAAGGGAAGAGTCCATCAAGGTACTGTATTCTGTGTCCTGAAAGCACATTCTTGTCTACCATCTCCATAATTTCTACATATCTTAATACACGCTAAAGTGATACTGACAGAAATCCTTGCTTCTGCATTAACAAAATTTTGGATTTTTTATTGAGTATTGTGGGTTTGTTTCAGTTTGGGGGTTTTTGGCCGTTGAATGTATGATGTGGTGTCAGTGATTAGTCACATGCTTCACCATGTTATTCTTTAGTAATGTTATAATCTAATGTGCAGTGATAGAAAGTCTTCTGTATGAAGATTTTAAACAGCAAAATATTAATTCTGCAAAAGAGCATTTAGTACTCCTGCTGCTTTAGTAAATAGCTAAGAAATGCTGTTACCTAGTCAATGAATTTTCTTTCCAAAGTTGTTGTTAATGTTTGTGAATAGGAAAAAATCAATTTCTGCCAATTTAGATCATCGTAATAATACAGTATGTGCCAAATAATAAAAGCTAGATAATGCTAACAAAACATAATATACTAGGCAATATTAGAATAGAAATAGAATGGTGTTTTCTAATCAGTGTTATCCATCACTGGTAAACATGTTCATCTTCATGTGTTTGTAACCATTTTTTTCTCTTTTGATGTGCCTGGTGCTAATGTTGGCCTGCATTTATAAAATGCTAGAAGGTGACAGTGTGAATTTTTGTATGTATTGTCTTTGGGGACAGTTGTTTTTACGGGAGCTCACATTTTTTCATACCACATGAGCAAGAAATTATTTCTCTTATTAAATGCTTGCTGTGATTTCTGCTTGCTTAATTAAGTCTTTTTTGTTTCATCTGTAGTAGTTGAGATGTGGAACAAAAGTATATACTAAACATATTGCTAAACTGTGTGAGATATTTTGTAAAACTGTCTTTGAGGTAGAAACTGTTTAGAACTGTTAGCGGTTTGAACGTTCCGAGCCACCCCTTCTCAGTTACTCAGATTCATTTACTCACATCTAAGACTAGCAGCCAGCCAGGCTGACAAGCTAAACTGTACAGACAAGTCCCTGTTGAGGACTGTTTCTTTAATAGAAACATAATCCTGCTTCCAAAAAAACAGAAAAAAATATTTTTGTGGTTGATCTATCTCAGTGGAATTTTACTGTTATGTGCAGCTTTTTCTTCTTCTGTGGAAGAAATGTTAACTATGCATATTATTGGATTTTCCTGAAGGGGCCAGGGGGCTTTCTGGATACTGTAGTATCTAAATTTCTGCTACTACAATGTATTTCCTCTTTTGGATACTTTGCTTCATAGATTTATGGACAAGAGTCTCTTCTGATAATGTGATTTACTGCATATCAGGTTAAAGAATTCCACGCTGCCATTTGAATGCCAAATTTAGTATACTTTAAGGGATTTGATTTTCAAGTGGTGCTATTTATACTCTGAAAATCAAGTACCTTTCACATACCTCACACTGGATACACAAAAACAGTCTCACAAAATCATTGTTATTAACTAAGGTACAAGAAACAGAAAAATACTCCCTATTTTTTATTTCTTCTGCTAGTGCTAAGCAGGCATTAGCAAATCTCATTTATCACTACTTTATCTTACACTGAAATCACAAGACTCGCTTAAGCATGATCAGATCAGACTGTGTCTTTGTCTTGGAAGAATTTCCTGCTCTGGAAATAACAATGTAGTTGCATCAGTAGAGCACAATAGGCAAACTGAAAATGCCATTGAGAGGCAGAGGTTATTTGGTTGGTACAATGCCATGCAAATATTGCTGTGCTGCTTTCAGATGCAAGTCTGTGGTTCCACATCACACTGCACTGGTTCAAGCTCATGTTGCTCCTGTATCATGCCCTGCTGCCAGAGTAATGATCTTACTGCCAGATTGAAACTTCAGAATTGTGATCTTCTAAGCATCCTTCTGTCTACTCACATCACCATACCATAGACACATCTGATATCGAGTATAGTTGTGAAACACATGATTAAAAAAAAGAACTTCCTTAAATTAATTTTCGATTCTACTTGTCTATTGGACATGGAGAATTAAGACCTAAAACTCATGTCATTCTGCATTTTAATCATGGGACTTCAAGAGCAAATGTAGAATACTTTATCCTGAAATGTAGTATTTGAATTGATCATACTTACATATCTTCTCATTATAATACAATATGGTTGACACTATTACATTTTGTAGGGCAAAAGGAACACAAAACTTTTAGGTAATGGGCAATTTTAAGTGATACTATTTCCATTTGTTAAGAAACTAATTATGGAATATTCTTACTAGTTTGACTTCCAAAATAATATACCTTTGATGAGGAAACACATCAGATTTTCGTCCCTATTTCTGAAAAGAACAACACTAGCAATTTCATGTCTGTATACTTAAATGGACATTAATTACTTGCAAGTTGTGATTCATTTTATCATTGTATTACTGATACCATAGCAACCATTTTCTTTACAATAGAAAGCGCTGTGGGGGGTTTCATTAGTATCTTGCATTAAATGGCAATGCGGTAGGATGCTTTTGACAATTTTTGTTATGGAAATATTTCTTTCTAGTACATGCTGTTAATCATGTGGTATGAGGGATGCATATGACATGTTTAAGCACTCTACTTTGCAAATTATGTTTTAGCAGATGCCTTAATTTTGATCTCCAGTGCTTTACAGAAAGAGGTTTTTAAATGTTTTTCGTCTTTATGAAGGTGTATGGGCGAGTCTTCGTTCAAGCAACCGATTTATCAACACTCAGACTCCATTCATTGATGTTGGTGCAAGACTTGCAGGGAAAGATAACACCACTTCCTACAGTAGCAGCACTTTTCTGCAGAGCCAGCTTTTGAGACGGCAAGCAGCCCTCTATATATTTGGAGAAAAATCTCAGTTACGGGTAACGGGAATTTTTTTTTAATTAATGTTAACATAGTTTCCATGTGGCTTGAGTTTAATAACCCTAATGTTTTTACAAAACAGTAAATAATATTCTAGATAAGACAGAGGATAACTCTCCTAAAGGTGTGAATTCTTAAGAGAATTATTCCTTTACACAGAATACTAAATAATCCGTATTGGATTTGAGGCCTTCGTTTTTCTGCTTTATTGAACTGGTTTATAGAATCTATACTGCACTGTTGGTATGTTGTCCATACAGTTATTTTAATGTATTTGTTCTTAATTTGCTTTAAATATTCTGAAGGAAGCACATTATGTTGTGTATAAAGAACTCAACAGATTAATCACTCAGCTTTGGGCTTTGGATATTATTATTGAAAATATGGCTGCCTTAGGGTACATTCTGGTGTTACAGGTAGTAGATCAGAACTTTATTATGTTACGTTTTACAAGTGTTGTAAGGCTTTTTATTATCCTGCTACACCAAATAGATTTTTAACAAAGAATTGAAATACTTAGCAGTAAAGCAGGCAAGACTTTGAGATTTAATGAGACTGTCCGTGAAAAACATGCTTCTCCTTTGAATGACATCTGCTGGTGTCCTTTTCATGCAGGGATTCAAACTTGACTTTACTTTGAACTGTGAATTTGTTCCTGTTGAGTTCAGTGACATCCGGCAGACAAAGGCAAGCTTTAAAAAGCTGATGAGAGCTTGTGTTCCCAGCACTATTCCTACAGATTCTGAGGCAACATTCCTTAAAGCACTTGGGGAGTCAGAGTGGTTCCCACAGGTAATTTATATGACAGGTACTTCTCATAATATATATGCAGTACTGCTTACACGAAATAAATTTCAGCCTCTTCTGACAGCCATTGCGTTCTACCCAGCTGTTTGTCTTTGTTCATAGTCATTATTTTGTGTACTGTCAATTCTGTCATTACATAAGCATTATTAATTTAATACAATCATAACATTTACAAATGTGGGAGGCATTTTTTATAATGTAATTTATGGTTTACAACATGGAACATGAACACAAGTAGAGATGACCTTTTTCTCTCCCTCTATCAAGTTATGGCCTTGATTTTAACTATTTTTTATTATTTTATATGTTTTTAAAATGAGAAAAAAAATATAGAACAATAAATGAGGGCTTGATTTTAAAACAGATATTTTACTCTTCCTATGTGTTCCCACCCTGAATTTCCATATGTGCAAGTATTTAATAAATAAGCCAGCATCTGTGATCTGTTGTAGGATATGGGGAGGTGTCTGGGGGGAAAGGGTATTGTGTGTGCATGAACCTGTTCTCTGAGTCTATCCCTTTGCTTCCCTATCACATATTCCCTTACATAAAGAATAACCAAACAAAGAGAGGACTAGAAGTAACTTTGCAAGATTCAAATTAAGAACAGTGCGGGAAAGTCAGATTTGTAAATCTAAACCATCTTAATTATAGTGAATGTTTTTTAAGAGTTACATGTTATGTTTGGAATTCACTGCTGAATATATTCTTCTCAAATGCAATTTTTCACAGAAAACCGAATAGACTTGTGCTCATTTTTAAGGAGGAAATACATGTGAATAACAGTCATTTCAGTAATTATGCATCAGAAAATGTGCTGCTGGTTAAAACGTGTTACAGTGCAAGGAGTGGTTTATCTTCTTCCCTTGAGGTGTGATCACTCTTAGAGAGCGTAGGAGCTGGTCATTGGTGTGTCTAGCCACCATGTTCTTCAGGAACAGGAGAAATAAGAAGAGTATGAAGGCTTGACTCCCTCATCATGTTAACATTTTCAATCACAGAGCAGTTGAGCAAGTTGCTCAGTCTAGATAGATAAATCAAATGTCACTTCGATGAAATAAACGTGTCCAAATAGCAGCACAGAGATCAAGGGGACATTTATAACATTGGAGTTGCTCTCGTTAGGTGCACTTGAGAGGAAAAGTAACAGTATATCACTGTCTGCTTGGGACTAGATCATAACGTCACACACTTGCTGGGTGACCTTTAACCACATTTCTGTTTTAAATCATGTCATATGTGACTTATGTGATAAAGTTAATTTATCACTGATTTGACACATTTTCTCTTATTCCTGTGAAGGAACATAGACCTGTCATCGTGGAAAAGTGCTTTCATTGTATTAAGCTTTCCTCTCCTGGGCAATAGAAGTTACCCAGTATTGATTTTAACACTGTATAGGCTAAATAATAACCCTGTGTACCAGTACAGGTTGGGGACTGCCCTGCTGGAGAGCAGTATAGGAGAAAGGGACCTGGGGGTTCTGGTGGACAGCAGGATGACCATGAGCCAGCAGTGTGTCCTCGTGGCCAGGAAGGCCAAAGGCTTCCTGGTGTGTATTATAAGGGGAGCGGCAAGTAGGTCAAGAGAGGTCCTCCTGCCCCTCTACTCTGCCCTGGTGAGGCCACACCTGGAATATTGTGTCCAGTTCTGGGCCCCTCAGCTCAAGAGAGATGGGGAACTGCTTCAGAGAGTCCAGCACAGAGCCACCAAGATGTTTAATGGAGTTGAGCATCTCCCTTATGAGGAAAGGCTGAAGAAGCTGGGTCTCTTTAGCTTGGAGAAGAGAAGGCTGAGGGGTGACCTCATAAATGTCTATAAATATGTCAAGGGGGAGCGTCAGGAGGACAGAGCCAGGCGCTTTTCAGTGACATCCAATAACAGGACAAGGGTACCAGTTGGAACATAGGAGATTCCATAAAAATATTAGAAAAAACTTTCACAGTGTGGGTGACAGAGCCCTGGAACAGGCTGCCCAGGGGGGTGGAGGAGTCCCCTTCTTTGGAGACATTCAAAACCCACCTGGAGGCGTTCCTGTGCGATCTATTGTAGGTGGTCCTGCTCTGGCAGGGGGGCTGGACTAGATGATCTTTGATGTCCCTTCCAACCCCTAACATTCTGTGATTCTGTGAAATATTTCTTCATAAGGATGGATATATAAGGATATATAAGAAGAAATTTGAAGTACGGCTCTATCTTCTGAATACAAATGATAAAAATAGTATTTTGCCTTTTTTTTTTTTTAATATTGCATCTGTATAACCAGATTACATGTCATTATGGAGGGCAAAATATTCGGGGGGAGAGGGGGTTCTAAGAGGAAAAAATCAGACTGCCTTAACAAGGTTGAATTTCGTAGGTTCATCTTTTTTGCCCCTAATCTTCTCCAGTTCAATTTTGTTCTCCTTAAGTCACTTTCCTGTGCCTGCAGTACTTTCCGAACTGATGTTTTCCTTGCATAAATTATCTCAGATGTGTCTAGCCTTCTTTTGTTTATTTGTTTTCCCATACTGCTTTTGGCTTTCTTTCCAGCTTTCATCCTTCTTACTGCTGCTATTGGTTGGCTTGTATCACTGCTCTGCAAAGCACTTTCATTCTACTGTAAAAAAATGAATTGTTTACACACTGTCCATTGTGGTGTTTACCAAGAATGCTATCATAGTATGACAAAAATGGTAGAAACATCGTATAGGTTTTCCTTTTAGTAATAATAATGGAAGGTCTCATAGAGATAAGATAAAATTGCTCAAATTCACCTACATTTTTTTAATCTGCTTATACCTATCATGGTTGAATGAGTCTTATTAAGTCAATAAACCTTCGCAGAGGAATTCACTAACCCACCTCCTCAAGGAATTTTAGGATCACTGCATGATGAATATTAGAATGCAAATAATTGTGTCCTCTTTCCATATGTCTTAGCCACTCTGCCCGAGTAGAAGAAACACTATTTAACATATTAACCATTTTCAGATTATAGAAATGCGATTCTTCTGTGTTTGTTTTTAGGTTTGTCATTTTTTCATTATTATCATTATTGTTATTATTCAAATAATTAATTTCCAGCTTCGATAGGATTGAGCATGAGAAACATTCTTGTGCAAATATCTTAAATGGGTTCTTCCATCAAAGTACTTAGTGATCTCACAAAACCTTAACATTTCACAGGAAATTATTTCCACATTAAGCCCAGGATGGAATTTCTCTACAATAAATCTGTCAACTGTCTTGTTTCCATTCTCCATCTTATGACAGTTATTTTATTACAGTACTCATTGGTTTTAATAGTTTAAGTTCCTGTCTTCATATCTTTGCTTAGTTTTGTTGTAGTTCAGATGATAATCCTGAGACTGTTACATTTTACAGCTTTCTAATGTGTTGCATCAATGCACTTCTCTGTGCTGTATGTATTTTTCAGAATATATATTTCAGTATTAAATAGGAAAATAGTCTCTTTATTGATAATGTCTAGAAATTTATCTTATACTTGAGTAGTCAACTTATTTGTAATACTTTATAGCTTCACAGGATAATGCAATTGGGTGTGATCATCTCTGAGCTCCTGGAAAATGGTTCTTCTGTTATGGTTTGCTTGGAGGATGGCTGGGATATTACTGCACAAGTAAGCTGCTACTAAAACCTTGAAATAGCTTAATAATAAGAAGAGACACCATGCAACTGTTCTTTACGCAAGTGACTGATAATTTGGTATAAAATTAGTTTAGTTTGTGTTGTGGTAGCAGAGAAAGAACTGGAATGTATGAATCCTTGCATTCATTTGCAATCTACACCATGAAAGAGTTCCTTAAAATGAATTTTTTCCAAAGGTCCAGATGAACTTACAGTTCTAAGGTTTAGCTGTAAAATCTACATTTCTGCACCTGACCACATGTAAGAACGAAAGCTCAGATTTCCACAACTGTTGGTTTATCTTAGTAAACTTTGTACACTTTAAAGACATGAGGGAAGGAATTCTTTCTCTCAAGAGGAATTCTTTCTCTTGCCATTTACTTTCCATAAATGAAGTTAGGAGACCACACACAGGGAGAAAAATAAGTTATTGCCAAAGGGACTGAAAAACCTGCTGCAAGGGCAGATGACCACAACAGATAACTTTCTGGAACAAACAATAAGTTAGGTGAAGACGTGCTGCCTCCTTTAATGGATTTAATGCATTTTATCCATGTAGTTGCTTCATAATTCGGAAGATAAACACAGGTATCTGTAATTCTAGTAAATAAAAACTTCATGTGCGCCAGCATCCTGATACCAGCTAAAAAAAAACCACGCAAAAGAATGCTAATGTAATTATTGGAATCATTGTCAAACAATGAAGAATGGAGAGGGGGCGTACATAGCTGGCAGTGAAAGAAGTCTCTGCTGCATTTTAAAGTCTCCTGAAATGCTGTCTTATCTAAAGAGGCTGAAGTTGCTGGTGAGCACCATACTGCAGAAACTCTAAAGTCACCCTCAGGACGAATTCTTTAATGCCTTCTTTGCTTAAGTAGCTGATTGTGTTTTTAAAAATGTTTAAATTATTATCCTTATTTTATTAATAAAGATGAGTTTTTTCAACTGTAACTTAAATGTGGTAAGCATTATAATGACTTTGAAAGTCTATAGTTGCTCACCTTTGACTTTTACAGATATTGTAAAGTCTCAGTTTAATGGAAGCTTTTTCATGTGAGATACTATTTGGTTTGTTTTGTAAAAACAGTTAAAAGTATGTGGTAAAATGCTTGCAATAGAGTTTATATGAAGGCGTTTGTTTCCTTGAACTGTAAACATGTTATGAAAAATTTATATTCATTGACTGAAGTGTCACTAACATCTCTCACTTTTAACCCAATATATCTTGTCTTATGATCTAGGTAGTATCTCTAGTGCAGTTACTCAGTGATCCCTTCTATAGGACACTTGAAGGTTTCCGAATGCTGGTGGAAAAAGAATGGCTCTCTTTCGGTCATAAATTCAGTCAGCGCAGTAATCTGACTCTCAATTGTCAGGGCAGTGGATTTGCTCCTGTTTTCTTGCAGTTCCTAGACTGTGTGCATCAGGTAAGTCAATCTCTATCTAATTTTAGTTTACAAGAATTCATAAATAAGTGCATAGCTGCCAATATTTCAGATGTTAAAGGATATTCATTTGAGAGAAAACTTGTAATCTCCTTCTCTAGGTTTTATTAAATGTAATGGATTTCACCTAAGAAGAGATGGAATGGTTGCCTAGAGACTGGCCCATCCACACAAAACAGGCTAAGAGGAGTGGTTGGCATTGTGAATATTTTAAGGTCGTTTATGCAGACATTTCAAATAGAAGTTTTTTAAGTGTAAGACTGGCTTTTACCAGTCTGGAGTACTTTTATTCAGAAGAAGAAATTGACAGTTTATAGTAAATATGTACAATAGTACAGTGACTAGACAGTTTTTCATTCCGTGTGCTTGGTGATGACCTTTGAAGAGGCCTTGTACTTCATCAGTTCTGGAAATAATAAGCTATATACCAGGGGGACCTGAGATGTTCTTACTTTTATATATACACCATCTTCAGAAGACGATAAACACCGACAGTTAATGT